CAAAATTGTCCAGGAATTTGGGTTTTATTGCTTTTGTGATTCTCTCAGACCACACATTTCCCTGGGTACAATCCTTCTGCCAAGATATGTGTTTATGGACAGGATGAAAGATAAACCTCCTCCATGACTGGCACTGCTCAGCCCTGATGCAGAGGCCAGCCCACTGGGCCCACCTACTTCTGTGTTCATGATGAATTTTCAGGGGCTGATTCTCTTAATTTGACCTAGCTCAGAAGGCAGATGAATTTGAAGATACAGGTCACTTACTGAACACCTGCTTTTGGCAGCCTGCCAGTAGTTAACTACTTGTTCATTTTTATGTTTTTCCTATTTTGTCTTACAGAGATGTTTAACCTATTACATATGAAGAAATTAATTCATATAGGTCTATATTTGAATGTGTTTTCTGTCACATATTTTGAAAGCCTCTGATTAAAACACTACATATATTACATCGTCACTTGTAGTACTCATTTGAATAATACTGTTAACCAATGGAAAATTTTGTGAAGAATGGGTTCCCTTCCATAGTGATATTCAGCCAATTGCATTTCCTTTCAAAGACAAGCTTAGAGTCTGTCTTCTAAGTGTTGTACAATATAACATTTATTTGGAGTGCCACAACTCTGTTCTCCTTTGGCGTCATAGATGTTAAAGACCAGGAGGTAAATAGTATATGCACATGGAGACCATTTCACCCGTTTCCTGCATGAGGGTTCCAGCAAGCTGAATTGAGCCTGAGTAGCAATCCCTACAGTCTCCTTACATGTCCTCCATGTCTCCTGTGGGAGATATTAGACATGTTATTTGTGGCATAAGAATTAGTTTGCCTGGAGTTTTTACCTCCTGTAAAGCTTAAGTGGAAGAATAGATTAAATCCTTTTAAGTTACTATTTTTGCCTGCTGTTTTTCCACGTGAGGAACAAAGAATACAAATTAACTTGATATCTTACACTTTTTAGAGAGATCTGAAATTTTTTTAAAAAAAGCATTTTTTCCAGGTATTTAAAAAATTTGCAAGACCAATATAAAAGCTTAATTCAGCAGAGAGAGAGAGAGAGAGGAAAAATGGATGACCATCAGGATTTTGAGGAATGGTATTTTTAATCTTTTTTAAAAAACTGAGTATTTCTGTAGAAGAGTCCTTTGGTTTTATGCTTTTGATTTGATAGCCTTCTTAAGTGTTAAGAGTTATAATAAGAAGCTAACTTCAGTAACATTGCTTGTAGCTCTGGCAAGAAGTGTATACATTATCTTCCTTTCTCCCACTGTGAATAAGCTAAGTGACTGCTAGTTTTAATTTTCTCCTAGTCTTTGTTTTGTTTGACTCTGCATCGTGGCTCACGCCTGTAATCCCAGCCCTTTGGGAGGCCAAGGCGGGTGGATCACTTGAGGTCAGGAGTTCAGGACCAACCTGGCCAACATAGTGAAATCCTGTCTCTACTAAAAATAAAAAAATTAGCCAGGCATGGTGATGCATGCCTGTAATCCTAGCTACTCGGGAGGCTGACGCTGTAGAATCACCTGAATCTGGGAGGTGGAGGTTGCAGTGAGCAGAGATCTTGCCACTGCACTCTAGCCTGGGTGACAGAGCAAGACTCTGCCTCAAAAAAAAAAAATCCAATGTGAAAGACACTTGGTTATTCCTTCAGTCTCAACACTGATTCATTCATTCCTTCCTTCCTTCCCTCCTTCCTTCCTTCCTCCCTCCCCCCTCCCCTCCCTCCCCTCCTCCCTCCTTCTTTCTTTCTTTCTTTCCTTCTTTCCTTCCTTCCTTCCTTCCTCTCTGTCTTCCTCTCTCTCTCTTTCTTTCCTTCCCTGTCTTACTCTAGGGAAGCACTGAACTTCTTTTATTTTCTTATATTTGTATCTTTCTTGTTAATAACTTTGAGCTATAAAAGTTTATTTTTGATTAGAATGTTTTTATTGCTGAGAAAATACCTTTTTAAGAATTATAAGAAGATTAAAAACTAATATCAATACAGATTTTTTTGTTGTGTCTTTTTTTGTTTTAAACGTAGTTGTATTTGTGTCTCATCAGTGGGTTAAACAGCATAAGTTTTATATAAAGAATTATTAAACTCTGATAAAAATGAATATAAGATATAAGAAAACTATATATCTTACTCTAGGGCTGAAGGAGGAAGACCAAACTTATAAGGGGCCCCACTTACAAGGCTTGGGGTTCAGACTTCATTGGAGGAGGTATATTCAGCTCATTTAGTTAGTAGAAAAATTCTCTCTTTTGGCCAGACCAGAGAGTTGGTCTGTAGTCCAGACATGTTGCTGTGGTCAACACGTGGCAGGGGTGTGCAGAAGGAGTAGCAGCTGTGTGGGAAACCGCAGATGGGTAGCCCATGCAGGCCTCCAGAGCAAGCAAATTGAGATGCTGATAAGGGAAAGGGCCCTTTAGTGTGCCTATGAGGCAGAAAGCATTTGGAGTGCTAGATTCTGTCTTGAGAGGGCTGGTTATTCCTGGGCCAGGCTCAGGCTGCAACCTTGCTGAGAGACTTGTGTATCTGGACATTGGCTTGGGGCAGCATTCCCCCAATGTATTCATCCACATGCCACTAATCCACAGCAAAATGAAAACTGCAGAACCCTTTGTCCTACGACTCCTTTTAGCATTTTCTGCTGAGAAATCTTAAGATGGTTGTCGCAGTAGAGAGACTTAAAGGATTTGTGTCCATATGGCAATGCATGTATTGAATGGTGAATTGGAGATGAGAGTCATGCAGTTGATACCTGGCACAACCATGTTTCTTTTTCCAGTTTATTTTTATGAGAAATTGTGTTCATAGTGTTCTATTCATTCTTTGATTCAAGAGGATATGCTATGCATGCACCCTGCTAGGTGCTTGAGATTTAATGACAAGGCAGGTAGTAAAATTTTAAGTATGCATGAAGAATCATTGTATTTAGCTGTCACATTCTTGATTGATACTTGATGGTAGAAAGATACTTTTTTAAGCTTTGAAAGAATAATTGTTTCATATATGAGAGGACTATGTCAAAATAGTATTCTTCACGTTAAGATAAAGTTTTGTGGCAGCAACTGTTGAGACAGTAGAGGACTTTGAATCAGAAGACCAAGATTCTGGTCTTGGTTGTTAATTAAACATATACAATCTGGGTCTTAGTTATTGGGATATTGTGCTGGACTTACTAGATTCAAAATTTTCTCTCACACCATTTCTAATATACTATGAGTCCTCCCTCAGATTGGAGTTGAAGGTTAGAGTAAGGAAGGCCTAAAGCCTGTCACAGTCTTTTGGGACAGAGGTATAAGAAGAAATAACTAATTTTTTTTAACATATAAAGACGGTTTAAGCAGAATCAATAGATTGCCAGTAGATTGGATTGAAACAGGTCTAGTGCAGAGAAATACCAAGCTGAACTGCAGTTCTGGATATATTTCCCTACTTTGCAGAGATATGATTTTGATACAAATTTCAGAGTATAAAATATTTTATTATAAGATGGGATTCTGAGTGAGTTAAAAAAAGGAGTTGCTTAAAAAACAATGTACAGATGGGAGAAAATATGTGAATCACATATTAAATAAGGGGCTTGTGTCCAGAATATATAAAGAACTCTTATAACTCAACAAGAAAAAGACAACAGGTTTAAAAGGGAAATGATTTGATGGGCATTTCTCCAGAGATGTACAAATGGCCAGTGAGCAGATGAGAAAATGCTCAGCATAATTAGTCATTAAGGAAATGCAAATCAAAACCGCAATGAGATACTACTTGATGCCTGCTAGAATGATTGTAATTAAAAAGACCAATAGTAACAAGCATTGGCAAGGATGTGGACCAATTGGAATGCTAATATATTGCTGGTGGAAACATAAAGTAGTACAATCACTTTGGAAAGTATGGCAGTTCCTCAAAACATAGTTACCATATGTCAGTTAAACAGAGTTACCTAATGACTCAGCAGTTCTCCTAGGTACATACCCAAGAGAACTGAAAACATATGTCAACACAAAAATTTGTTTACAAATATTCATAGTAGCATTATTTATAATAGATAAAAAGTGGAAACAAATGTCAGTCAGCGGGGGAAACAAAAATCTGGTAACTCCACATAATGGAGTATTATTCAGCTGTAAAAACAAATGAAGTTCTGATACATACTACATACAACATGAACGGACCTCGAAAATGTTATGCATGTGAAAAACAAACCCAGATGCAAAAGAACCACCCGTTATTTGATTTATATGAAATATCTGTAATAGGCAAACTGTAGAAAGTAGTGAGTGATTTTTCAAGGGGCTGGGGCAAGGCAGGAATAGAAGTGACTATTAGTAGTTACAGGTTTCTTTTTGGGTTGCTGAAAATGTTCTGAACTCTGAATATACTGAAAACGACTAAGTTGTGTACTTTAAAAGGGGTGAATTTTATGGTATGCAAATTATCTCAAGTTGTTTATTTAAAAATTTTGAACCTGAAAAGTTTTTGAAAATGAGCTTAATTTGTCTGAGATTAAGCTGCAGTTGGCAGTTCCTAAGTGCTAGCTCCCTATTTCTTTCAAAGCTTTTTAAAAAATTATCTTTGTTATTTCATGTACTGTGTTCAATATTTTGACTTTATTTCTTTACACAACTTCTGGTTAACATTTAGGCTACTTGAAGCTGTACCTCAGCAGTTAGAAGTAGTACTAGGAGAGTTAAGACATCTTTCCCCTACCTGGTGTGTTTTTTCGCCTTGATAACACAAGTAGTCATATGCTTATATGTTCAGGGTTTTTCTTACGAGAAAAAATTGGCTGTGTGGATACCTGAGGAGAAGATGCAATAATGTAGATAAAAAGCTAATTTTATATTTGCTTTATGTTTAGTTACGGAAAGATATGTTTAATAAAAATAAGAAAATATATAAATGATGTCCTTTAAGAAACTTCTAGAAGGATATTTAAAACTTTCATCTCTTCATGTGAGGTATCCCATTATAATGTCCATTTTTAATAACAAGTAATTTATATCATTACAGACAGATTTGACCAGTTTTGGGCCATCAATCGGAAACTCATGGAATATCCTGCAGAAGAAAATGGATTTCGTTATATCCCCTTTAGAATATATCAGGTAGGAAGTGACATTTTAAAAAACATTCATTTATTAAAGCCTCAGACATCTTACTTGAAACACTAGTCCAGAACTCTGTCTGCATAGTAACTGAACAATATTTTTTAGGGGTTTTCCGAACTGTGTCTTTTAGTGGCAATCAAATCAGATACTGCACTGAAATATTTGACTCATATGCAGTTGGTACTCATTGTTTGTAGATTTCATATTGGCAGATTCACATACTTGCTAAAATTTATGTGTAACCCCAAAGTCAGTACTTGGAGCACTTTTAGGGTCAGAGTGGTGAAAAATTGATTGACCTGATGCTCATTTCCCAGCTGAGGTTGATCAAAGCAAGGCTGTACGTTCTTGTCTCAGCTGTCATGCTGTAAACAGACCTTCTGTTCGCAGTGTATGTAGTGCCATGTTTTTACATTTTTGTGCTTTTTGTTAGTGATTTTGCTTTTTAGAACAGACTCCAGATGTAGCACTGAAGTACTCTTTTTAAACAGAAACACATATAAAACAAGGTTATATATTGATCAGTTCATGAACATGTGACCAAGGGTTCACGGAAACATAACTTTGTATTCTCACTAGAAGCAAGTATTTCAGTGTTTGTGGTAACCTTATAGAACAGAACCACTGCAAATCACAAGAATTTACTGTCTGTGTGTTTTAGATGGTGAGTTTTCAGTGTTGTACCACAAAGTAGGCAATAGGCTCTTAAGTCTTTCTTACAGCATATTTGTATGCAGTAAAGAAGCTCCATGTTTCTGTACTTTAAAAGGGCTGGCATAAATATTGGCATTTAGCAAATATTAAATATTTTTTGAATGAATGGCATTCCAGGAAGTTAAGTTACATACTAACATGAGAAAAGCATTTAAGAACAAGAATTAGAAGCATAATTTCACAGGCATAGAGTCTAATCTAGTAGGTCTTCCATTCAAACTCAGAAGTTTTGTCATAACTTTCTTTGTAGCCATTTTTAGTATTCCACAATCTTTACTAATAGTTACTTCTATAATTGTTTTAGAATCTATTATAGAGCTATCACATAACCATGTGTTCAAAGAGGAAATCAAATTGTCTAATTGAAAATAAAAATCTCAATATACTGGAAGAATTAAGCATATTTATTTAGTGTTGCAGGTATAATTTTCAAGTAGTCCATATTTTTCGTGAAGGTGGGATTATTGTTAGATTCATGCTTTGTGTCCAGGGTCTAGAAAAGTGCTGAACATTTGAATTTCTAATTTATTAAATCATTTATCATTTGCCAAATTTTATTTTAATTATTTATGTTCTTTTTATTTTACCATGAGCTCCACAGTAACATGCCATAAGGCATTCTCACAGCCTAGCAAAATATCCTACTTGTGCAATTTAGTGGAATAAAATATATCACAGACTGTGAAGACATTTCCAAAAGAGTTCTGAAACTGTTTTGAGATTTATACCTCATAGCATTTATTTGGGTCAAGTTGTGGCATATATATTTATACAAGAGATTCTTTACTGTAACTACTTTAAACTCCTATAGGGAAAGTGTATTATACTTAATTTAGGGATTGTTATTGTCAGAATGTAATGCAGCTGTACAGAGGAAAGGTTTTCCTTTTTGAATTTATCATTCAGTTTTAGGGAAAAATTATCAGACTAATCCATATCTAGTGTAGTAATATTATAATACAGGAGGATTCAGAGAGAGAGGGAGAAAGAGTGTGTTTGTGGTATGTGCCTGTGTGTGTGTGTATGTGAAAGAGAGAGACACAGAAAGAAAGAAAGAATGGTTTTTAAAAGTTCTATAATTAGATAGAAAGTGGGAAGGTAGAGAATTCTTAAAATTTGCTTTACAAAACCTGGCTGCCAGATGGGGACTCTCTTAAGGCAGAGCCTCCTGCTTGATCTTTAATGTGTCAAGGCACTTGGGCAGTTTTCCTTAAACAAAAAGTGACAAAGAGCCTGAGGACAGTTATAGGTTCTGGTTTGACCTACATAACTTTGCTTTTGGCTTTATCCCAGTTCCATTTTGGTTATTTGAATTTGATTAAAGTTTTAGAAGTGGGATATGGAAATGAATATAAACATTTAGGAGTCCTACTTTTTGCTAATTTGCCATTTCCTGGCGTTTCCTAATTCCCTGTTTGCTATTCAGTCTTTAACCATGACCAAAGGAGGACGGAACTCTACTTTCTGTTTTCTTAATTGTATGTTCTAAAGGCAACATCAGATTTTTGTTGCTGACTTCTTTATGTCTAATTAGTTTGTATAGTAATCTTTATGTCTAATTAGTTTGTATAGTAATCTGTTTGTGAAATGTAGCTTTATTGATGTAGCATTTTGATTAACACCTTTCATTTCTTTAACATACTAGATACAAATCTTTATAATATTTAAGACCTTAAGTTACTTAGTAAATTTAAGGAAAACCTGAAAATCCAGATTCATTAATAGATAAATAAAGGGCATAATTTTTACCGAAATATTTATTTTACTTTGCAGAATTCTAATAGAATTTTTGTATAACCAGAGAGAGAAGAGAGAGAGAGAGACAGAGACAGAGGAAAAGGGGTACTGAGCATGCTTGAGTGAGGCCCATTTTATCTTGTTGAAGCCTCAGATGCATCTTAGGATGTAGGAATCATTGTCTGATTTTACATGTGAGGAAACTGAAGCTCAGGAACTTTAAGTCACTTGCCTCAGGGTCACCCAAATGTAAAATGGAAGAACTAGAATTCAGACACAGGTCTGATTTATGAGCAAAGTATGACTTTTGTTTAGAGTAATTAAGATTAATGAATTTTCAGAACATAATTATTATCACAAAAAGTGAAGTCTACCTTGACCAAGTAAGTTGATAGGAGCCTAGAATACCTGTGTCTGGTGGTATTCTTTGAAGACTGACTTTTGTAAAGATTGTCATCAAACTATCTTTTTCATCTGTAAGTCATTCATCATAAGTTCAAAATGACTATAGTCAGATGACAGAATTTTCGTGGTAAAAGTTAAATTGATCCAGAAGCCATCTAGAGATGTTGCAGGACAAAATGTGTCATTTCTGTCATTTACATAACAGTTTAGTTTGGTGTGTGAGTTTCAGGTTTGTGTTCCTAAAGTCCAGGTGCTTCATATTAGCCAGTATTCTAGAGATGACATTAATGGCAGGAAATGTTTCAGAAATGTAACCAAAATGTTATTTAGCACATGTAAACAGGTGGTGATTAATGAAGACATTTGTCAAAAAGATTTGTAAAATGACTGTGAAGTCCTTAGGTATTGGTATTTGTGATGTAAAATGAAAATTAAGCATATCACATCTGTTTTTCAAGAAGCAAGAGATTCATAAATGTTATCCTGCCATTATACTTTGAGTAAGAAAAATGTGTCTCATTCATTCATTCAACAAATTTGTTTACACATATCACATATTTGCCTGCCATGCCCTGTGCTATGCACAAGGGATATAACTGGTGATCAATATTATGTATCACCCTTTAGAAAGCTTATAATCTAAAGGTGGAAAGAAACAAACCAACTAAGAATACAAATATAACATTGGAACTGTGATTGCTATGAAGAAGAGACATACAGTGCAATAAAGACCTAATGTCCCAGGAGGAATTTCTTCTAGTTTGGGAGGAGAGAAGGCTGCCTTGAGGAAATGTTGCATCCCCAGAGATTTGACAGATAGGTGAACTTAAGATAGGCGAAGAGTTATGAGAAGAGCTTTGTTGTCAAAGGGGACATTGTAAGTATGAGGACAACCTGTTTGTCTTGAGCACAGAGTTGGGATAAGGCTGCAGAGGTAAGGGTCAGATCATTATTAACAAGTTTTCTCTGTAAAAAATGAGAGATCCAAAGAGATTTTTAATAATCTGAATATTCATATTTATTCAACAAAAATCATTCAGTCACCTATTTTGTTCTACATGTTATTCTTAAGGTTATAAAAAAATTTAGGGAATTTTCATAGAAACAATCTAGCAAAGCTATTTTTAGTTTTAAAAAAACAAGAAGCTGATAAACGGTGCTTGTTTTCTAGTAAAGTTGAAATGAGACCAGCCTGTATACAACATAGTGAGACCCCAGCTTTACATAAAAATTTTTTAAATGAGCCAGATGTGGTGGTGTGCACCGGCAGTCCCAGTACTTAGGAGACTGAGGTGGGAGAATCACTTGTGTTTGAGAGGTCAAGATTGCGGTTATCCATAATTGCACCACTGCACTCCAACCTGGGCATCAGAAAGAGACTGTCTTAAAAAAAAAAAAAGACGGTTCCTACTTGTCTTTTATTATTTATTTATTTATTTGTTTGTTTTATTTATTTACTTATTTATTTATTTTGAGATGGAGCCTCGCTCTGTCACCCAGGCTGGAGTGCAGTGGCACAATCACGGCTCACTGCTACCTCTGCCTCCCTGGTACAAGCGTTTCTCCTGCCTCAACCTCCCAAGTGGCTAGGATTACAGGTGCTCACCACCATACCTGGCTAATTTTTGTATTTTTAGTAGAGATGGGGTTTTGCCATGTTGCCCAGGCTGGTCTCGGACTCCTGACCTCAGGTGATCCGCCCACCTTAGTCTCCCAAAGTGCTGGAATTACAGGCATGAGCCACTGCTCCCGGCCTATTTTTTATTTTATTTTATTTTATTTCCAGAGCGGGTCTTGCTCTGTTACCCAATTGAGTTGTAGGGTTTAATTTGGCAAATTGGATAAAGTCAAGACCCATCATGTACTGTGTTCAGGAGACCCATCTCACATGCAAAGACACAGGCTCAAAATAAAGGAATGGAGGAATATTTACCAAGTAAAATGGAAAGCAAAAAAAAAAAAAAAGCAGGAGTTGCAATCCTAGTTTCTGATAAGACAGACTTTAAACCAACAAAGATGAAAAAAGACAAGGGCATTACATAATGATAAAGGGATCAGTGCAACAAGAAGAGCTAACTATCCTAAATATATATGCACCCAATACAGGAGCACCCAGATTTGTTATTTTTTTAATTTATTTT